TCATCGTAGGGGTAAAACGATAGATACCTAAGGATGAAAGCCGCCATGATTAATACGGCATTTTTTTTGGAAACTAATAGCATCGGTCTCAATCGGTGGGATAAGCACTGTTTGACAGACGAGCGGTGACTTGATTGATGCAGAGAAGATGAGTGGTGAGAAGCCTCACATCCCTAAGCTGCATTCCATGGATTCTTTTTCTACACGTCGCTGGCCAAGAAGACTTTGACTTGCGGTAAATTAGAATTTAGATTAGAGTTCTAAATAGAAAAATTAATTTTTATGAACATAAGGATGCGCCAAACAAACTACAATTTGACTTGCAATTAACATCTATCATTTTCTCTTCTTCTCTTCTTTCAAGTGAATATTGGCTCTCTCAAATCTTAAGCAGCACATCAAGCATAATTTAGTGTACAATCTTAAAAAAACTTGCATGCGTTGGTTGAAGCTTGGATTGTCATAATGACAATTTTAAGAAAGAAAGTGCCTCATCTGCAGCGTAATATGTTTTCTAGATGCTAAAAGAGTACTGTATTCCCCCTCTTTTAGAAGCATCCTCTTGGTAGAACTTTTTTGTCTAGGAAAGACGTCAAATAATATCATGGACGAGCGTGCTTCATACGGAAAGATATACCGAAGAAAGTTAATTAGGATAGCTACTCAACTCGATGGGGTAACCAACCACTTAGGTGAGTGGGCAAGACTCGAGAACTTTACAAGTCTTCCATGTCTACTGGTGAAATGAAGAAGATGACTTGCATGCTGTGTGGAAGAAGTTGGCATTTATTGGAGTTGATTCCGTTGTCGATTGGGCTGACAGGTCAAGTCTTCTTCGTGCAGAAGCGGAGATCAAAAGTAGTCCATGGAATGGGAGAATTTTGCGTACATCCCTTTCCTTTCCTCATCAGTTGCTTTATAAACCATGCATGTTGGCTTCGTGATTATACCGGCCATACACCTCCACCTTCTTCCTGTTCTTCTGATTTCGGCGGCTAGTGGGGGCAATGGTGGCAAGTGAGTGTTTTTAACATGGAGAGTGAGGTGTTGGAATTAAACTTATTAATCTTTCGTAAAGAGATTCAATCTATCAATATATCGAGAGAGAAGTTCATTGTATCAAAAGAAGAAATAGATTAAATATGTATAGAAAGATAAATTAAATTAACTAATGATTTTTGAAAGAGTTTTTTAGAAAAAAAAGTGATTTATTTTAAAAATAATTAATATAATATATTTATGGAGACTTTATAAACCATGTTTGGTTATGAAACATATAAGTGTTTGAAGTTATAAAATGTTTTGAGTGAAAGATAAGAGTATTTTACTTTGTCCTACTCTTCTTTCTATCTAGTTCAATATTTGATATTAGAGCTTGAGTTAAGATATTTTCTCTTCTTCAAGCACCATCCAAATCCAGATAAAAAAAATATATATTATATGATACATCCAAATGAAGATTCTTCTAGGCTCTCAAAATATACAAGAGTTTGCATAAGATGAATTTGTTGAACCAAGTTCAATATAAGGAACAATCAATATAGAAGTAAGAAAATAACTCAAAGATAGAAGGAAGGAAAAAATGACTTTGTTCACAATTTTCCAAGGGCTTGATGATATAATATTTGAGATCATCGCTTCAGTAAATACTTCAAAAGAAGCTAGGGAAATACTTCAAAAAGTATTTGGTGGTATGGATTAAGTAAAAAAGCTTCCTCTACAGGTTTTAGGAGCTGATTTTAAAAAATTAAAATAAGGTATTTCTAAATCTATTTCTAATTACTTCTCAAAAGTCTTTTCTATTGTTCATTAAATGAGATGAAATGGTGAACAAATAAGTAATTAAAGAGTAATAGAAAAAATACTAAGATCTTTATATCTAAAGTTTGATTTTATTGTTATAGAAGAGTCAAAACACTTAGAACAAATATCTTTAGAACAACTAATGGGTTCTTTTTAAGTTTATGAACAAAGACTTACAAAAAGGGGAGAAGAAAAATATATATAGTAAGCACTACAAACCAAGCTTACTCTTGAAAACAAAGGTAAATTAAAATATCAAAGAAAAATAGGTTGTGGACAAAGAGGAAGAAGTTGCAGAAATTAGACCAATTAAGAATCTCAAAACAATGAAGGTGATGGAAAAAATTCTAGCCGAAAAGGCTAAGATTATGGTCGAGGACGTGATCGAGGCCGTGGACGTGGTAGAAATTCTAAAAGGTCTGAAATTCAATGCTATGTTTGCAAAAGGTATGGACACTACTCCTAATGACTTATAATAATAATTTGAAGAAAGATTAATCTATGACATAGTATCAAGTTTTGTTGAGAAAGAAAAGAACGAAAATCAAGTTTTATTAATGACTTATAATAATTTGAAGGACAGTCAGTTTATAACATAGTATCTAGATATAAGAGCTTCAAATCACATGTGTGGCATCAAAAAAATATTTTCAAAAATATATATAAGTTATTTCGGGAACATTAAATTTGGTGACATATCTCAGTAAGAACAAAGGTAAAATTTTTCTTAGATTTAATAATGATAAAAAATATATATATTTCAAATGTTTATTATGTTCATAATATGAAAAATAATATTTTGAACTTGAGGCAACTACTTAAAAAGTATTATGATACAAAGATAAAAAATATGAGTCTCTTAATTTGTGATAAGAATAAAATATTAATCTCACATATGAAAATGCCGAAGAACATAATATTTCCTCTACATTTATGCATATTTAATTGGGTAAATGATTTTAAAACTGATATTGAAGATTTTTTTATATTATGACATCTTAGATAGACTCACTTAAATTTTGAGACTTTGAAACTTCTAGAGCATGATATCGGTTTGATCTAGTGCACTCAGATGTTTGTGGCCCTATCAATCTAGTATCACTTGGAGGAAGTAGATATTTTTTTTACCTAATGATCATAATAGCAAATCCTAGGTTTAAGAATTTGGTTGAAAGTCAAAGTGGCTATAAGATTAAATATTTAAAAATAAATAGGGATGATGAATATTAAAGAAATTTGAAAGTTTTTATAGAAATAATAAAATTTTATATCAATTCACCGTATC